GAACGTTAGCTCACTTCAGGGACCTACAGGATGAAATGTTTCTCTTTCAAGTACTGGACGATGTGTTTCTCGGGTAAGTCTTGAATCACGGTAAATGCGTTTGAAGACATAATTATTATTGGGTTAAAATTTACTCTTTAGGAATCAAGTTTGCGTCAAACGCGATAACTAAGCTAGTAAGCGGTGTAGTTGCTAGAATGAAAGTATTTGAATTTGCCGTAACTGACGGGTTAGTTTTTTTTGTTCTCTTTTTCTGTCTGGCTGATTTAGGTAACAGAGTAAACTCAAAGGGGATTTTATTTTGACCATTCTCTACTTGTAGTTGCAGTCAAAAATACGTAGTGCAAAAATCTACTCAATAATGGCAAGGTTAATTAATTAATTCATTCATTAAACTGCTTTCGGTCTGGCTCAGTGAACGCAAACAAAGGAAATGAACAGACAGACTTTTTCAGATCCCCTTGTGCGTTTCTTCCGAGCTTCAAAGCAAAAAGAAAAAATTAAATAAGTGGAAAGAAACTTTTTGTCCTTGCAATTATCGAGGTAATTTTAAGCATCTCGAACGCCTGAAACAAAAATATAGTTGATCTTTAGATGATTCGTCTCAAATTCAAGTTTGATAAACGTGTCTTAAGTGCTACGCTAAAATTGAGGCCACGAATAGACGTAACCCACACGTCACAAAAACGCCTCATTTCTTCTCAACAAGGACTTACCAGGAGGAAACTTTTGGTCTAATTTAGAAGTCCAAAAACTGTAGTCTGTCGAGCAATGATTCTTGCTATATGTTTAAAAATCAGGTTAGCGCAAAGCGCGCGTCGACCAGCCACGTTACGCAGCCGGTAAGTGCGAGTTACTTGCGTTCCGTGTTTATCTGAGAAAAAGGTGAAAGCTACATTTGGTGACGTGGCTGCATTTAATTTTGCATGTCGGAAAATACCTCAAGTGACTGATTTTAATTTTGTACCCTTTCAACAAGGAAAAGTCGTCTAAATTTCCTGTGCATCTTAATGCAAGCCACAGCAACCTACATGACAATACCTGGAAGGATATCTTCTACTTGGAACACAAACATCTCATGACAAACCGAGATTCATTTGCAGACAAATTCCATTCGGCATTGGACCGGCTGAAGAACACAACGAAGCTTGTGTTATTGCACCACCTGTCGACTGAATTGAAAAAGAACGTAGGTAACCACCCACTCTTGATGCGGTTCCACATGCTTGCCATGACTTTAGAAGCAAAATACGGCTCTAATGACAGCGTTGTCCCTGAAAGACGATGGAGCAATGAAGATGGACGATACAGAGAAAGGAAGACCAAGTTTGGACACGTTCGAAAGAAAAGAACACTTTATCAAGAAGAGAAAGAGAATTCTTGTCAAGATTTGAGGTCTGATCCCGACAACAACGATTGTCTAGGAATGTGCGGCTACGGATGTTCATGTTGGTATTTTATTTGTGGCAATTGTTGCCAAAATCGGCTTTGCTTTGAACATGACAAATGTTGTCGACATGACATGTACACCATAAACTGCCTCATTCCGATTGTTCATTCATTGAGCTGTGAAGACGGGTATGGTGGCTACCCCAGCTGCTTACAATGAGTACACTTCACACTCCGCGCAGACAGATTCCCGAACGAGGGAGGGAAGGGGGAAGGAGGTAGGGTCAACCTTTGCTGAGTGTGTGCCTCTGGCCTTTTAGAACCTCTACCCCATTATAGTATATTCTTTTGCCAATTATAGACCTTATCTTAGCTACCTTTAGTAATACGGTCACAACAATCTGCACATTTTTAAATCCCTATTTACCAAAATTTTCTTACACCCAAAATACCGAAAATGTGCGGTCCCAACTAGTGGTGAAAATGCGACTTAGTCCAACGGCACGTCTCCATTAGCCTCTTTCTAGAAAGTACCGCGTCCCGATTACCTTTTAACTGTGTAACTGCTGAGCACGTGCTCAAACTAGTTTTGTAGAGTGGAGAGTATTTTGCATTGCATAAACACGAACACAACTTGTTAACCTAAACATTTAAGGGAGGTCGGCTGAATATATACTGTTCAACTAAAAACCAGATCTTACTTGTCAAATTAGGAGCTTTACCCCGCGTGAAGCTCATACAGGGACCAGTCTGGAACAGTCACTATTTACCACGTGACCACCCATAAGGCTATGAATTATTCTTATGCTCCC